AAGAGGTAGTTTTTTTTATGTAATTTATGCCTTTTATGAAATTTACGTAACTTTTGTAAGTTACATAAATGTAATACCTACAAGATACATTTTGATCGGTACCACAACAGACCATCAACGGTACTACCAACGTAAACGAGTCACCGTTGAATCTAGTTTGGTTTAATGAAGATGATACACCATCTAATTCACGATCTGGAACTTCTTCCTCCAAACGACGCGTGATGGCGAAATACCTACTGCTTGGGTATTTTATTTAATACATCAAAATATATAATTTAACAAGTGTTTTTGTTTTCAAACACTCACAAAATTCAAAAATGTTTATGGAATATTAAAAAAAACATAAAAAACATAAATGACAGGTAATTTTACAAAAATATTTGTAAATTACGTAAAAAACATAAACAATTGCTAATTTTACACGTAATATTACGCACTTTAAAAAAAACGTGTAATTTAACATCACTAGTGGTAATAGAAAGTTTGTCATCGACAACCTATATTACCAAAGGTTTTTAATTTAGTAATGAAAATATTTAGAGAACCTTTATAACACAAAAATTGTTCATTGGGTTACTATGAAAGACAGAAACTTTGTTCTAGAAATGTATAAATTAAACATAATCGGCAGCTACTGGTACCCAAGTCTGTGACTTTGTAGGACCGCGTACCGAGCTGTGATGAAATGAAATTATTATCAGTACTATGAAAATAAAAGTATTATTATTATTAATCAGTAGAATAGCTTACTTACCATAAATTCGAAAATTTGAGTACCAAATGTATAACTCGCATAAAACAATTTGTAACCCGATTTTCAATTACGCAGAAATGCGTTACATAAGGTACAGTCACTAAATTTTTATTACAAAGTGAAGGTGGCACTTTCGCAAAACTAATAGAAGCTATAAATAGTAATGGGTATTGATTTCAAATTATAGAGTTCGCATTTTTACCTGCGCTTGCCCTTTCATTTGCATATAATTCTGCCACCAATAAGCAAGTTTACCATTAAACCACAATCGCTCCGTGATTTTATTTGGGTTTTATCGGTAACTTTGGTAAATTTCAATTAAACCAAAAATAAGATGGCCAGTTTCATTATCATTATCATCTGAATAATTTTGCTTGACGTTAATTATAGTTGATACTGTCGTAAATATTTTCGAAAGTCCGTACTTACCGATATTGCGGTATACACTGAAATTGTAAAATGGGACCCAAACAAAAAGGGCACATTTATCTACAATAATTTATGTCATCATAACGTGGTTTGTGAGTTTTAATTGTCTCACTCATTATTACCAACCATATTAATTGCAGACCATTCTGACAGACTCATTAATTTAAGCGTGACATTTCAATTAACACAATACTGAAATTCTTAAAACAATGCAATTCCTTAATTACTAATGTTACATATTTTGTCTAACTTACTGCCTCGCTTAGTCCAGTAAATGATAATGACGAACCTAATATTTGTCAGGCTTAAATTAGCCACGCTTTTTCTAAAGGGTGAAAGATACCTTCGCTTTTGGTATAGCAAACGTACTACGAAGAGGAAAGTTATAATATGGATTTAGAGTTGTTTAATTAATTACTCCATCTCAGCTTCGCATTAATTGCCGCAGAATCTCCTTTTGTTCCACGGGGATAAACCAGAATAATTTACTTTATTAGTTTATATACCTACCACGGACCGTCCACATATTTCATAATAGTTGTATGTAATTCGATATAACTGTAACAGTTTTACATCGTAAATAGGTACCTACTGTCTGCTATTTAACGGAAACTGTTAGGCAAGCGTAAGAAAATAAAGCTAGCCTTTACACGGCGTGCGAAGTGTCATGCCTGGAGTGTGGCGTGCGGAGGGACAAGCAGACGCGCAATTTTTTAGCTATAGCCTTTTACATGGCGACGTGTGAAGTGTCACGCCTGGAGTGTGGCGTGAGGAATGACGAGCCAATACTCGACGATAATTGAAGACCTCGCGTCGTGAGATTGCATACACACGCCACTCCAGATCGCGCGCGGCGTGTTTACATTGAACTGGCAAATTACCGCCTATAGTGCCGATAGCACATGCCGCGCGCGCGTAACTCGTCCCGCCGACTCAGTCACACGGTGCGTGGCGCGACACTTTAGACTCCAGGCGTGACACTTCACACGACGTGTAATGCCGCCTTAAGACAGAGTTCGGTGATCTAATTCATAACATATTTCCCGCTTCCATCTCGTCTATATTATCCTGCTGGTAACGTTGCTAAACGAGTTGTTGCTTAAATAAAATCAGACCCAGGCTTATAGTCTAGGCGATAAAGACAGCTAACTGGACATTTTGAGGTGGAAAAGAAAACATTGGTGGAATATGTTCAGTTATAGCCCAGGCACTTTAGACAAAAAAATGCCCTAAATTAGACAAAATTAGTAACTAACTGATTTTTGGTGGGGTGTTAGTATATGATAAGGTAAGTATTTTCTGAAAGCTCCCCTCACTTCCTCCGCTTGCTTCACCCGGTAGACCGATAAAAAATACTTACGTGGCGCGAATACAATAATATCGTTATTGCGCTCCATCTCCGGCACAGTGTTGGTGGTTGTGGACTTAAATTGTTCAAAATGACAGTGGTTGTGCTAAATAATAACCACTGCAATAATCCTTAGCATTTTAAGGTGTTTTATTTGGAATTTTATGTACATTTTAGCAATTGTTTAACCACAAATCCAATAAATAATTAAAACGCTTTCAGAGCGCCTAAAATGAAGAACTTTGTTACAATTTCGAATTTTTAACTGTAGTTATGTCAATGAAATTGTATTAATAATAGTTTTTTTGTTATGTAAGTTGGTAGTGACAACACTGAAGTTTTTTACTAATATATATGTCATTAGAATTCCAAGTCAATGTCGTGTTCGAGTAGTAATAGTGTGTAATGTTTCTTTATTTTGAAATTAATTAAATCATTTGTGTAGTTGAAATATTGATATTTATTATTTCCTAGACATCCAACAAAGCAATCGCACAATATTAACATCTTTATCATCCTGCAGAGGATGCGATAGATGCATTGGCGCAATGTCCAATACAGCGGGTAAACTTGGAAGGACAAGCTCGGGCACAGTCACAATGTCTATTACACTGGCCTTTACAATCATATGTACTTATAATTAAATGAGAAAGCTCGTCAGGGGCTTGGTGCCTTCTCGTGAGATATCCGGAATCTCCATTCTATGGGTGTTGATGGTTTCCAAGCCAATGTTGTACCTGAAGATACACGCGGTGATAATGGAAAAACGCCGTGTCATCCGTCGCGTCGGTTGGAGGACGAATGGCCAAGTTGAATTATGATGAAACTTTCTGGAGAGCGATAATGTATATCGAAACTAGTTTTTTTGCAGATGCGTTCAACAATTTCTAAACTGTTTTCTTTCCTTTTCCGAATCAAGACGAGGTCTTGTCGAATCCCGACGTCGCGTCGCATGTAATATGAGCAAAGTCTCTTGTGCGGTTTAACGTCTTGTATGGTAAAAACCTTTATTTTTTAGTAGTTGATTTAACGAAAAACATTTTCGAAGAACATTACGGCAACTTGGTCTAAAGTGGTCGCCTCGATAACGACCGTCACAATCAAAGTGTCGACGTCTTGCTTTACCTGCAAGTCCACATAGCGAGATCTTCTGCTTTCCTCACAGGCGTTCGTGCTCGTTGATGAGTCATACCCGTCAAATACTACCACTGTGGACTGACCATAGTGTGTGAGTACGTATTGGACATACGAATGGCAAATATCTCGGTTAGCTAGGTCGCGGTCAAACTCCTTTCCTGAGAAGAAATCCTACGTCGACAACGTACCTATTGCACTTTGTAGGTCGGTGGACTATAAGTGTATGCAGCATAATTCTCTCTAGTTTGCTCTAACACTGACTTTGTTTTCCTCACGTAAGGCCCATCAAAAAACGATGATGCGGCTGGAGTGAGCTCATACGAGATATTCCTTATGGTCCTCTGGGCATTTCGACATGCAATCACTCAACGATGCAAGTGATTCTCATAAAAAGCTGATAAGGGTCTACTCGTGTCTCCTTGCGTCTGATTGTTAATGTGCCGTTTACGACCCGATGTTCAGTGGTTTACCTCGGTTTTACCATCCGCACGTTAGTAAGGGAGGTATTTCAGTGGGGTCAAAAATGATCCCCCGCTCCTTTGACGGAAATAGACGTTTTGAAGCACCAGGATCCAGGAATCTAACATCAAACAAAATCTCAATGATGTCGGTCTGTCGGTGTCGGTCCGTCTGTAGGTACTCTCATTTCCGATTGAACCGAATTGGACTCAAATTTGGTACACATATTCTTAGACATAAATGGGTAGAATTGCGCATACGCAGGTGTGCGAGTTGTATCTATATGCTAGACACTGCAATTCCTTTATGTTTCATTGTAACGTCACAAAAATTACCAAACATTTTAAAGAAAACAGTTTAAAATGCCATGAATTGTTGTAGTGGATATTCTTTAGCATAACCACTACTATTCTGAACAATTTAAGTCCACAACCACCAACACTGTACCGGAGATGGAGCGCACTAGCGATATTATTGTATTCGCGCCACTTAAGTATTTTTTATCGGTCTACCGGGTGAAGCAAGCGGAGGAAGTGAGGGGAACTTTCAGAAAATACTTACCTTATCACACACTAACAACTCACAAAAAATCAGCTAGTTACCTACTAATTTTGTCTATTTTTTAACCTATTATTATTAGGAGGAGGAGACTTTCCCGACGCCTACCACAATGACTTCGGATCCAGCCCCGGGAAGTCTCCTCAAACTTATTTCATGTGGCTGTGAACGACGAACGTGGTTGCATGACTGCTTGCAGTTGCAGGATATCAGGTAAACCTTCTCCACCGGACACTTAGGACACACGAAAGAATGTTATATTCGTATACACAATTATAAAATTTTTTTTTGACATAATACTATTTGTTGTAGGTCTGAAGTGTAACGAACTCTGCGTCCAGTGTCATGGAACATCGTGCCTAAATGCCACGTCGTCTCTTCAGGGTACCCATGCAGCAGGTAAAGCGGAAGACGAGAACTACGAGTCCGTAATTTCAGACGATCCACTACCACTAGAGAACGTCGAAGAGGCTGACGAAGTGCAATCCGCAGAAGAGAATGATTACGTTGACATGTAAATGAATGTGTGAATATTTTGATATGAAAATACTGTTTTTACGTGAATAAATGGCACATAGAAATACTTTGTTATACAATGAATACTTCCTCATACATGAAAGTTAAAGGTGAAAGGTGACATTACGCCAACTCTTCAGTTACCTACCTCGAATGATTTTCACGAAGAGCATTTTCAGCTAAACACATTTCGTCTAGCCCTGAAGGTTGCGATATGTTTGCAAAAAACCGCAAAAAGCCACGAAAATTGATGATTTTCGCTTTCTTTTATGAATGTTCTAGGCTAAGAGGTAGACATAGGCTAACTTCTGAGTATCTACCTTGTATAAAATTTTACAAGAAAATTTTCAGCTACAAATATTTCATCAAGGCCTCATATATCGCGAGATATCAGCCAAAAAGGGCGAAAACACGGTTTCTGGGGGGTGGTGAGGTGGCTGGAGCCTTTAACACAGGGTCTGGGTGGTTGGATTTTTAATATGTTGTTTCTGACACCTAACTGAACGTATTCCACCATTTTTTTGTTTTCCACCTCAAAATGTCCAGTTCGCCAATTTTACAGTCTCTATCGCCTAGACTATTAGGATGCTGGCTGTTATTTTTATTTCCGTTCTCTCTATAGTCTCAACTCTGAAGCGTATTCACTGTTTATTTTGTTTTCCGTGTTGACAGTGTTTCCATTCATCTTACCTTAAATCTCCATCTGAAATAAGAGATACCAATTGAAGTTTTAGTGAAAATAATCAAAATCGATTAAAAAATTCATCTATGGACCCTAACATTACACGAGCTGAAACAATGTTTACCTTCGAGATCAATGTACCTCCGGAGGTGCTGATGAATATGATGAAATGACAGTCGTGCTACAAATTTCTTTATTTGTGTCTTGTCGATTATATGATAAAACACCTACGAGAAACATTTTTTTACTCGTAGCAAAACACTGACTGACTGGCAATTCTGCACGTCACGCCACATTTCAAATTCAAATTACTCGATGAATGAATAATAATAATAATAATCCCTAGATTTCCAATTTTTTTTAGGACCCTACATAACTTCACCAGACACTAATCGTTACTTCATTTTAATCCGTGCGATTAGTTAACCAAGCTACACCTGAGTTCTCACAAGAAACACCGATCATAATAATAATAACCCCCTGAAGATTGCTACCTTGTCGTGGTCAGGGGGCTTAGTAATCCCGATCATGGATGAAGCCAAATGCAATCACCCATTTATGGGGTAACCTCCCATAGATGTGAATTCCTCAAACAAACACCCAAGCCTCGGACGAGCGGCGTAATGGTCGGCGACGTCGCGGGAATACTACGGTCGACCAAACCGATGACGATGTGGCAACGATAAGTGGACCAGACGTGTTTTGCCCGGTCAGCCGGCAACCACTAAAGCTGGAAACATTCGACAGCGTATAACTTGGACAGTTAAAATGAATACAAATGTTATGCGCTGTTACTACACTGCTACACGGCTAGAGATAGTACACACCGGCTATGCACCACAACTATACAGACTATTTACCAACATATATCCAGATCTCGCACAACTCATAACACCACAAAGACTAGTTGATAATAATAATAATAAAAATACAATCCACTCGTATTCAACCCAAACGCAAAAACCTTAACAGCACTACAGGCTCACAAAATACTGTAATGTCTCCACCAATAACCCAAGCAACCACACAAATACAACCTCAAGAACAAAGAAACACAATAAATACAAGTAACGCAACATGCACTACAAAGACAGGTCCACCCAATAAAGTTACAAGTCCTAGCAGAGTTAAAAAACATAAAACTCCTTCTTCTCAGAAACACACCACCTACAATAGGACTTTTCGGTTTAGTTCGACTGGTAATTACACCAAATAAGGTATACTGACTGAGACAGAAACTCCCACTGCCACTCCGTACTTCGGGTGAGCAGAAAGATACGACGGATAGCGGATACGATGAGATGAATGATGATGTACGGAATTCTGTAATACCTTAAATTCTTTAAGTCAAATAAATATCTCAAATAAGAGATGGATCAATCGCTACATTAGAACGCTTTTGTTTGGGAGGATTCAATTCATTTATCTTGTTCGTAATTAACAAAAATATACCTACTTTAATCAATTTAGTTACGTTTGACAAAAATGTAGTTCTCTCGGTAAAGCAAATAAGATTTTTGCAGGTGGTCGATAGGTGTGCGTAATAGAAATTTGCAACCATAACCGTCGACAAATGAAAGTTTCAAAAGGATTATGTTCTTCACCAATCTAGCAAAATTGGCTTTAATTTCTCAACAAAATTAATTCCGAACGCTACTGGCCATACTTACTTTCTATTTGAACATCATTAAAATTTACGTTCCTTTGATTTATTTTATTTAATTGAGCTTCCCTTGTTCCTTGATAAACTGCTCGAAATTTCTCTAACTTACTTCTACTAAAATTGCCCTCCTGTGCTAGTATGGTATATAATTAATCTTCCTTGATATTTATTTTACGTCTCACGATCACTTCCAGAACCACCACTCAATTTTTGAATATAACTTACGATAACTAAAAATACTGGATGGGTTTAAAGGCGGTCAGTAGCGCTATTACTCAAACACTATTTTGATCATTATAATGAGTGATATTTGGACATCTAAATTCTCCATTTAAATGTTCGCCTGTATATGTAAATAGTTTTTCGGCAAATATATGTGTATCAGTATATCCGCACTTTACTAAAATATTAACTTTATTGATTATAATTGCTGTAGTGGCATGTCTAAAAACATTTCGTACGATTTTTCCACGAGTTGGCCGTTAGTGGCGCTGAAGTGAACACAAAAGGTCACAGTTTTGCAGAAAAAAATAAAATGGTGGTAGAAAATTGCCCCTAGAGGAGTATGCCCTTTGATTTGGCATAGTATTTCCTGAAAGTCAAGGGTTCTAAGGGTTAAAAGTGGCGCTAGTCATGGCAAGTCTAACGCACGCTTCCGTCAGTTGGAAATCTAAGATCGCTTCTTTTCTAGTTAAATTCACTGGTTTTCAGTATTTCCCTTATGATGCCCTTTGTTACATGCACAGGCATGAAGCATGAAATTTTGCGAATGTTTATTTCTATTCAGTTTGATGTTCCACATTAACTAAAAAACTCTGGAGCCGCTTAGGCATAGCAAAGCAATGTAGGCTTTATAGAAGAGTCGATGGTGTCCCTCTGTCTGTCCGTCTGTGCGTCCGTGTACCCGATAACATTCTGATGTAAGAAATAATTTGCTTAAATCAAAGAATAAACGAAAAGATAGGTGCGATAGGAAGATTAATGTTGAAAATTACAAAGTAGGAGAACAAGTGTTGTTAAAGAACGAAACAGGAAACAAAATGCAAGATTTATTTAAGGAACTATACGAGGTAGTAAAAATTAAGCCACTTAACATAAAACTTAAAGTAGAAAATAAAATCATTGAAGTACAGGAAGAATAGGGTTAAGTTATATAATTCTTAGTTAGGTTCAGGGGCGGACTGGCCCGGGGGGGCGGGTGGCGATTGCCACCTGGCCTGTACGTCATAATGGCCCGTTGGAAATTTATAAGTATGTGCTGTATTTAGTTTCTTGCACTATTAATAAATTATTAACACGTTTTTCTAATGTTAGGTTGTTAAAAAATTAAAAAATTCGGTTTTAATTGAAGTGTTTTACATTGAATTTATCATTTTTTGGCGTAGCATGAAAGTTCTGAAATACAATGATAGGCGACGCGCCTCGTTTGGATTGTATGTTTTGTTACTTTTAAATATCAGCTGCAATTTAAAAAAAAACTGTATTATAATTGATTTCCGAAAAAGGAGTACCTTAAAATGAAGCAAAAAATGTTTTTTTCCTCCAACCACCTGAATAAGACGCTATTTTGTGACAGTGTTCGGTACGTAAAATTGACGTTTTGCGGATTAATCGCTTTCACCATGGCAACTGTACAAAAAGTAGATACTTTTGGTCCTAGTACCAAAAAGAAATTGACCTTGAAAGTTGGCCAATTAAAAAATTACAATCACGGAGATATGTCACATTGACATCGTTTTACATTGCAGGTTGTAAGATATTTCTATACATACATATCAAATATTTTTGCATATTCAATGCAAATAATGCTGTTACCTATACGTATGTACATGTATTGAAAATGATTTACGCTCGCTATTTTTATTTAAACCATGTGTAACGTAATTTACATATTCGGTGAACGTAATTTTAATACGTATACAACCCGCCGTCGCGCGTAACGCCATCTACTTCAGACCCAATGCACTATTATCTGTCATTTTGAATTCAAAATTTGAAAAAGTTACTTGCAATTAATTTTAATTAAAAAACTGTATGGTAAGTTTTTTATTTCAATACAAAATATAACAATATTAATTGTGTATACAATAGAAATGACTGAAACTGATAGCAACATGGATTGTACTCCGCCAGAGATTATAGAAACGGCAGAAGATGCTACCTTAGATTTGGTCCCTACAAAGTCGCGAGAGGTGAGAAGTAAGAAGTAAGAAAGAATAGGTTATAAGTTAACCTAAAAACTAGAGTGGCATGACACGTGAGGACAAGAAAGCAGAAGTTCTCATACTAGTAGTGAAACTGTGACTGAATCTAAATTCGAATATAATTTGAAGTAAAGGGGGTTGGAGAAAAAATTTTATGTTTTATTCGTACAAAAAATGCGTTTTCGGGACTCGGAAGGTTGCTGGACTTCGCTAACGCGTCGTCCAGCAACTACCTTCCTCGTCCCGAAAACTGACATTTTTTTGTACTAATGAAACAAATAACTATTTCCGGGTCGATCTGAGACAATTTTTTTGCGGGCCTCAAAAAAAGGCAGTGTATAACCTTCCTTTTTTTTACCAAAAATTGACTGCACCAAAATTTCTCGGGAAAACACTTTTTCGTATTAATTTTGGTGCGTAGAATCCAAAACAATTCGTACTTTTTCGATCGGACGTCTCAATCAAAAGTTATGGATTAGAAACAGGGGCGGACTGGCCCGGGGAGGCGGGTGGCGATT